GCAATTTGTATATTTTGTAATATATTCCTTTATTACTCATGTCTCACATTGAGGCACCTGCACTTTCGCAAGATTATCTTATCTTATCTTATCTTATCTTATCTTATCTTATCTTATCTTATCTCAAAAGCAAGCATTTCAGGGAACTGATGCATCCAACTGGCCTGTAGTGTGTGTATACAGGTACCCAGCCATGGACTGGCATCCCGTCCAGGGTGTACCCCAGCCCTGTGCCCTGCGATGGACTGGCATCCCGTCCAGGGTGTACCCCAGCCCTGTGCCCTGCGATGGACTGGCATCATGTCCAGGGTGTACCCCGCCTTAAGCTGCATTCCATTGCAGGTAATATTAACATTTCCTAGAACAGTGGTTGGTTGTCTTCTAAACCAGACCAAAGCATTTCACTGTGGTACTAACCTTCCAAGCATAGGATGAACATAGCTGGTCTTTGCATGACTGCAAATCGCTGTCTGGCAGTGCTGCTCGAGCACAGGAGCACTGCTCCCTTAACGCTGCTTGGCTGTTCCGCTGGTGTTTGGTGGAGAGCATCGAGGTCGCCGATCTCACACATCACGCAGGTTCAGGCTGCAGCGCTAAGTCACCAGATACCTGACACATTAACACTAGCGCCCCCTGCAGGCCTCTGTGACAGCATAGAGGATCCAGTGACGCTACTGGCACACGCACGGACTTTCTGTGGATGCTAAGCCTCTACGGGGGGCTGGGAGACCCCGATCCGGCTGAGGTGTCCCTGCTGCTCTGCACTTAGGAGGTTTTAGCTGCTGTGAATCTGATTAGCGAGGCGCTCAGCCGCGTTACAGCCCCCCCCGGTGGCTGAGATGGAGCTCCCCAGACACGCTGCCAGGAACAGGTGCCACCATGGTCTGCCCCCCCCATCCCCAAATCCTTTTACTGGTGGGAGGTGGGTCTGGCCCTCCCCATTCCCCATCTGCTGAAAGTTGCCACATTCCCGGTAATCACATGACCTTGTTGCAGAAAGGGGCCACAGACAATTACATGGGATTGGGGCCGCCCACTGTGGGGTTCTCATTCGTTAATCAAATGAATCCCATTAAGCAGCCGCCCCCCAGTGCTGTTACACTGGACACTTTAAGGAAATGGGACCTGTGAGCCTGCACTGGGAAGGGCGTCACCTCCAACACGGCCCTGATCTCTAGGAAAATCTGCTTTTTATTTAGTTAGCTGAACATGCTGTGGTCACGAAATGGGGGGTGGCCTTAATGTTTGCCGATCCCCCCCCAGCCCCCGTGGCCTTTTACTAACACCTCGGTCAGACCCTAACCAAGGTGGCTTGCAGCCTCCTGCCGCATTTGCATACAATGCGCACTATCCTGCGAGTGACAGAGCCCCCCCGGTGCCAGGAAGCACCGGGACGGACCCCGAACCTAAGGTGTCAGTGAGGAGTGGGGCAGACTACAAGTGGGGAGTTAGTGACTCTGAAGTCTTTAAATTATTCTTATTGTGTGACTGATCTAGGTTGCACTGAACTTGAGGGGCAACTTTTTACTCTGTAATGTTTTTACTACGGGATATTTTTATAATACTACTGTTTCTAATTCAAGTTCCAAGTGCAATATCTGCAATATTTGGGTAATATTTCTTCTTATTTACACTGCATTTCTTGTGCATTATTATGTAACTTAATTTTGTGTTATATTTAATTTTATTATATTTTACTTCTACTTATTGTTATTTTCTCTTTAAATTTAAAATTTTTTTTTTTTTATATATAATATAATGTACTTTCTTTTAATCTAATTTTTTTCTTCCCGGTAAATTAATTAATTAATTAATTAGAGCAACTGTATTTCCCTCTGGGATTAGTAAAGTTCTTTGAACCTTGAACCTTATTGTCGGGTTTTACTTACATTATCCTTCGTTCTATTTCCTCACTGTGCTTCTGTGCAAGGATCCCCCCCCCCACAGAGATGAGTAAAATTCTACCTTATCAGATCTTATCTCAGGTGACAAAACCACATACCCCCAAACCCCCATTTCACATCCCTGTGTCTCTGCCCCCCATCCCTGCGTCACGGGAATCGATCCGCCATACCAACCCAAGAGTGTCCTACAACTTGACCGCTGCCGTGGAGACCGCTGCCGTGGTGACCGCTGCCGTGGTGACCGCCATCATGTTGACCACATTCTGGCAGGAGACTCTCTGATACCTACCGCTGCTATCCTCAGCAGTTTAGCGGGAGTTTAGTAGAAAAACCGCTTTGTCATCCTTGTGGGGTTAATGTGGGCTCTGCACAGCAGTGGGGATCGATTTCCGTCTGCACTCCACATTGGATTCCCCTAAATAAGTTAATAATAAGTCCTTCATAATAGGCTAAATGTAGTATTTAGTGAAGCATTAAATCACAAGTGCAGGCTTGGAGGCTCACAGAGTAGCTCTGCCTGCTTCCTCACACCCCCAGGGGTGCAGGATCGACACCGTCTGGTGTCTGTATGTGTGTCCCAATGTGTGTGTGTTGGGGGGGGGTGTGGTTTGCATGTCCTTCCCATGTTTCCATGGGTTTCTCTGTGTTCAAAATATGCATAGGTTGAACTAACTGATGTCCCTATACTGCACCTATGTGGCACCCCCCGCAGGGTGTTCCCCTGCCCCCCGCAGGGTGTTCCCCTGCCTCCTGGCGCAGCCTCACCATGAGAAGGCCAGCTTCTCTTTAGAAAACCAACAAGACTAATTTCCCTCCGGAAATGTGATGGTTGTGACCACGGCAGCCTGCAGTGTTTCTTTTGAGGCTGGGTTTTCATTTCATCTCTCTGTAATACCTCCCTTCACTGCTGCTCGTGTTTACCAGCGGATTTCACTGGGTAAAACACGGCGTGATCTGGACCTAGCAGCATATCGTGTGCAGATAGCATTAGCGTTTACCTAAGCTGATAATGGGGGGTGGGTGGGTGTCTGATAGGTGGGGATGACTGGAATCCAGCTCATTTAGCCAGCTCAGATAAGAGGCCCTCGGTCGTCTGCTTTGTGTCCAGAATCCTGGCCAAGGAGGTGTTGCGCTCTTCCTGCTGTTTGTCAGTGAAGATTTGGGTCAGTCACACACCAGCACCTCCGCGTCAGCCCTGCAGCTGCAGGAAAAGAAATGAACAGGTTCCGGTAAAACTAGGTGGAATTCCAGTCCATCCATCAATCCATCCATCTAATCATAAATCATAAAATTTCAAGTTACTTGTTCTGTATTCTTGTTTCTTAGTGTTTCCTTCCCATGATGACACATGTTAAGTGGGGGGGGGGGATTTAAGTGCAATAATGCGGAGAAAAACTCCAGTTGTTAAGACGATTAGGTGCAACAGAGAAGGATGAATGGGGGAGAGACCTGATGGCAGGTGGACAGGAGTCTCTATCCTGGGACGTTTGGGGTCACCTCTATAGCAGGGGGTGCGGGGGTGGGGGGGCATGAGCAGGGTGGCTGGCATTCCCCCCTCTTCCTGGGGTGGGGGAGGGTATGGGTTGGTCGAGGGCTGGGCCCCCCCCCCCCCCGTGTCAGAGGCGATCCTGGTTGTCAGTGTTTTAATTAAACTGTCTTGGTCTAATCCAGCTCGGGCTGTGCTTACGTTTCCATCTGGGGGTGGGGGGGTGGGGAGGCGGCTTTTTGGCCAGCCTAGGTGTCATAGTGCTAGGAGATAAGCCCTCGGGGGGAGTCCCAAAAGCAGGACCGGATGGCGGACCCCCTCCCCCCTCCACCTCAGCAGGCTGCCGGGGGCGTCCTGAGGGTCCCTGTCCCATGCTGTTATCCACACACACACACACACACACACACACACACACACACACACACACACACCACCCCATCCAGCATCTCAGCCGTCTATAAGCATCTATTTATACACAGCTGCACAAAATCTAAGGCAGTCAAAGAAAATTCAGCTGTTTATCTGGACAGTAAGTGTATGTTTGCTCCTGAATAAAACACAATGTAACAGAACATATGCAAGTGAACGGCAACACAGCAAAAAGTAACGAGAATTTCTTCTGTTCTCCAAAAAGTCACTGATATCCTGCTGGACGGCTAGATGAGCCGCTTCAGCTCCCAACGCTCTCCTCAGGGACACCGCGGCCATGTCTTTGGTACATTTCACCAGCACCTCAATTAATCGATTAATTTCATTAGGTAAATAACTCCATGAGGAAGGGGGCTAGTAGTCAAGTCAAAGAACACATGGGTGTACTGGATGGTTACGACAAATACCAGGGTGCTTTTAGGAAAGGTTTCAAATGACTAAACTGATGCACAGACATTTGTATTATTGTATTATTGTATTGGTGTTATTGTATGCTTGTTTAGTGTTTTTTAATTTTTTGTAACTGCACTGACATACCATTCCAAACTCCATGCACACACATGTCAACCTGGCAATGATAAACCTAATTCTGCCTAAAATAGAGAACACTAATTAAAAATGTTTTACAGATTCAGTCTGGAATTTCAATAAATCTGATCAGGCTTCTGTGTTGTGTTCATTACTCCATGTTCCTTACTCCCTCTTCCTTATTCCATGTTCCTTACTCCGTGTTCCTTACTCCATGTTGCTTACTCCATCTTCCTTATTCCATATTCTTACTCCATGTTCCTTTCTCCCTCTTCCTTACTCCATGTTCCTTACTCTCTCTTCCTTATTCCATATTCTTACTCCATGTTCCTTACTCCCTCTTCCTTATTCCATGTTCCTTAATCCGTGTTCCTTACTCCATGTTCCTTTCTCCCTCTTCCTTACTCCATGTTCCTTACTCTCTCTTCCTTACTCCGTGTTCCTTACTCCCTCTTCCATACTCCCTGTTCTTTTGTTAGTTTCTTGTAGTTGCTAAACTGGAGTGTTAAATTGGCGGCCTTGCAGTGCCTTCCCAGTCAGAAAGTCCGGCCCTGGTATTAGCACGGTCCCCCCTCCCTCTAAGGGGGATGAACAGCCCGCACTGGGCCAAACCCCCCTATCTGAGAAGGCCCCACTCAGAGGCATGGAGTGCTTGTGGCGTGTCGGCCGCTGACGGGCGTGAGGAGGTGTGCTGGACCAAGCAGAGAGACGTTTGAAGCGCATGGCGTGAGGATGCTTTTTCGGAGCTGCGAGTTCTGGGACAATTCGAGGGGGATGTACTTTCGGAGGAGAGTTCCAGGCTGGTTGCTGATCACAGCGTTGCTGCTTTACTGGGGTAAAAGTTTTTTTTGGGGTTTCTACTATGATCTGGGGGAGGATGGTGGAGCTTTAGATTAGAATTGTCAGTCCCTGTTTGTGTGAGAGAGAATAGTGTGCTGTTTTGTTGTGGGGGGGGGGGGGGGGGTGGGGGGGGGGGGGGGGGGGGGGGGGTGCATATTAGCTAACGGAGGGGGAACAAGTGGTGGATGTTGGCAGCCGGACTGTTTGTAGCCACAAGTGATAATCTGGTGGTGTGTTAGCTGGCGGGAACAAGGAGGCAGGCTGGGATTAGGGTGCCCTGTAAAGAGAGCAGGGAGGCCGGAATGCGGACATGATGCAGCTGGGTCAGGTGGGATCAGCGCTGGCTCATCTCTGAGAAGGACCCCAGCTAAGATCAAGTGCTTATGTTTGTCCTTTATTAAATGGCTGCGTCTGCGTTCACATGATCGCACCGATTGTCCACCTCTGTGTTCTGCTACGTCATTACATCAAATTACCTCATTACATTATTTAACCAGATCAGATCGTTTAGTGTGTTTCTGTTTTTTCAGATTTTTCATCCATCCATACATCCATCCATCCATGAAAAAACCTCATGATTTGTACAGAGTTTTAGTTTTACATATTTTAAAATGCTTATTTAATTTTTTTTAATGTTAATTCCTGGTCTGACGTTTTGTTCTCTGGGGTCCTACATCATGCTTTTTGGTGGGAGGAGTTTTTCTAAACCCCAACACAGACACACACACACACACACAAACACAGACACACACACACACACACAATCGAGAACTGCCCTGTTTTCAACCCCCGCAGTGCTGTCTGTTAGGGAGGTCTGAGATTCGTTAAGTTTGGCAGGCCACACCAGCCCGGGAAAGGAGGGGGGGGTCTAGACACATGCATGCAGGGGCCATTGTTGGCTGTCGCTATGGCGATGGGCCCAAAGATGGGGATGCCTCTTTTGGAGGAGAAAAGGGGGCTTCAGGGGTAGTCGAGAGCCAAAAAAGGAGGCAGACCAGCCAAGCAGCTTTAATCGGAGTGACGTCACTGTCCTGCTGAGGAAGCCAAACCCAATTCCTTCTGTTTGTGTCTCCAAGGGCTCCAGGTGGCCCCTCAGGGCATGAAGCAGAGCGCCCCCTAGTGCCCACTCACCGTACTGTCTCACTTCTCAAGCGGAGATGGAGGGCTCAGGCAGAGCCGCATCTTGGCAGAAGCTCCTGTCCCCCCATAGTGTTTTGGGCCAATCCCTCCTCCACATTTTCTGTATGGTGCAGTCGTCCTTCCAGGGGCTTAGTATTCAAATAAGCTGGGGGGGTCAAAAGGGAGGGTGATGGGTGCCAAAAAAAAACAAACGCTCTTTACATGAGCCGTGTGCAATCACTGAGGTGGGTGTGCTGAAGATCCGTGGAGGCGTGATGCTTTTTCCGGAGGGGAGGGCGTTTTTAGCAAAATAAACATGCCTTCCTGGCCCCGGGAAGCCGATAGGCCATCAGACCACTGGGGATATGCCGCCTGTCCGGGGACCAGCTTTGGATATTTGGGGGGGGGGGAGGAGCTCCAAAGCTGGGGCCTGCCATTCCTCACGCCCCCCCCCCCCAACTGGGGGTGAAGGGTGTTCAGAGGCCTCACCGAGCAGATAATAGTTTATCAGAGCCATTTTGGCTGCAGTGCTAATGCCCCCAGGGAACAAGTCACTGTGCATGGTGTGCTGCTGGGGGTCTCTGCCCGCTGGGGGTCTCTGCCCGCTGGGGGTCTCTGCCCGCTGGGGGTCTCTGTCTGCTGAGTTACCTGCTGGCTTTTTTTGAGAAACGCACCCTGCCCCCCCAGATAAGGCCTATCTGCTGATGGGGAATCAATGACATCAGCATAGGGGAATGCCCCAGCAGTGCCCCACAGTCCCACTGACACAGGTTATGTGGGGGGGGGTGGGGTCACACTGGCCAGATAAGGCAGGTGTGGGAGGGAACCAGTGCTAAGCTGTGCATGGGATCACACTGCAAGGGTGTGTGAGTGTCTGTGTTTGTGTGTGTGTGCGTGTCTGTGTGAGTGAGTGTGTGTGTGTCTGTGTGTGCATGTATTTGTGTGTGTGAGTGTCTGTGTATGTGTGTGTGTGAGCCTGTCCATGTGCTCCTGCCCGTCCATGTGATCACGTGTGCATGGGTGTGTCCATGTCCACTAGTGCGACGTGCGTGTACCTGTTATGTGTGCATGTCACTTTGGCTTCCACTATGTGGCAGGTACTGAGAGCTCAGCATTGTGCTTGGGGAGGGGGGGCAGCAGCCCACACTTATAATGATTGGAAACCGCCATGGGGTCAAAGGGTAGAGGCCCAATACAAGGGGCGTGCGGGGGAGTGTGGGGGGGGGCACAGTGTGACTAGATAGACTCTCACACTCGTGCATGTGCCACCAGAGCGATGGATGGAGTCGGTAGGCGGGGGGAGAAGGCGTAACACCCCCCCCTCCATACCATGGAGCTCCCTCCGGCCCCCACCCTGTGCCATTTCTCAAGCAGTAAGCACGTGTGTTTGAAGTCTGCAGTGTGAGTAATTCCGGCACATTTTCCAGGAGTTTCCGAGACAATCAGCTGTCCTGTGGCCTGCCCTTTGCCAATGACAGAGAGAGGAGTAACAGGTCAGAGGTCGCGGGGTCGTCAGAGGGTGCAGCCTTTTCACTAATCCTGCCGCATACTTCACCACGGCTACCATGGAGACCGTGGGCTGCCCGGCACCATGTAGCAACCGTTGCCAGGGATCTTCCGAACAGCGTTTTCGGGAAATGAACCACGACTCAGGGTGGGGTGGGGGGGTAATGGGAGACCAGGTGTGGGTGGGGGGGGTTGGAATTTGCCACAGTTGCCTGGCAGGCCAGAGGGCATCGGGGCAGGAGCCAATGAGGAAGGGGCCAGTCATCTGAGCCACTCTTGTGGGCCGGTCCTGGGACTGACTGCCCCAAAAGCTGATTGGATTCCCTCCATGCCACTCACCGTGTCTGCCAGGGATGCAGCAAATGACAGCGAGTTTGTGCCGTTAGCTGATTAAGTCCTCCTAGGCCATGTTGCTCTGGTTACCCCTGCAGGTTCAGCAGTGTGGCGTTTCACGGGGAATCCGTCTGGCTCGCTCACACCCGCCATGGGAGTTCACAGTGTGCCAGCGCCCACCAGCTGGGGCCAAGAAGGCTAAGCCTCCCCCCACCCCCCATGCCACGTGGGTCCTCTGGGATGCTGCGACTCTGTCCCTTAGATTTTCCAGCCCCTCCCCCTCCCCACTCCACCCTCATTAATATCTTCTGCCTGAGCGGAAGAATCTGGAACAAAGCGGCAATCAGAAAAGCATGACCGTGGAATGCAGTAACCCTGCACGGGGGCACGCAATTGGCTGGTTCGGCGTGAGATAATAGAGGGCAGAGTCCACCCCCCAACCCCCCCCGCCCCGCCCAAAATGCTTGGCCCCCTTCCTGACAAAGATGATGCACCCTACCATGGACGATCCTGCTAGAAGAGAGGGACCTCTGCAGACCTGAAATGCTGACAGCTGCACTAAAACTCACTAAAACCTTTTAATGTCATATATAAATCACTGAGACCGACTTTTTGAATGTAATTTTCTTTATCTTTTTAGTGAAACTCCAGACTCGTTTGTTTGTATTGGGGCACGATGCAGTTCCAGAAATCGTGCGCCGAGGAATTTCGAATCCTCTCTTTGTTTTATTTTTTCAGACAAACGTGGATGAAACGCCGTGCTGAGCTAAGATATTGGGTGTCACCGCAGAAGGGATGTTTGAAACGAGGGGCAGGTGGTGAGGGAGACAGTGAAAGATGATGCATTTCGCTTAACTGGACCGCAAACACGCCATCCGGGCCTTAGTCAAGGTCGCCGTCCTGTTTCTATAAACTTTGGCTGACTGACGTCTTTGATGACTTTGGGAAAGTTCTGGAGATGAGGTGAGGTGCCATTAAAACGGCGACACTAATTAAACCACTGAGAAGCAACGTGAGGGAAGCGGGAAGCGCTGCTGCAGCGGCAGACAGCCCACACTCTCCTAATATCTGTGATCTTCTACAATAATCGGTGACCTCTGCTGTGAGGCCAGCAGACCACAGATTGGCGCCTCACCCCGTCTGTGGGAGGGGTTGGTAAGGGCCTGCTCTTCCTGGAAAGGACTGGGATAGAATGGATGCATAAGTGAGCTAAACTGCAGCTTAAAAATGTAAAAATATGACGTGTCCCCCGCACCCCCAACCTTAAGCTCACTCACATCTTTCAATTGGCCTGACGTCTGAATTCTAGAATCTTCCAGCACCCGTTTAGCTCGTTGTCACTCAGACAGATGAGAATTGGTCCCAGCCCCTCAGTTGGCCCCTGTGCCACCCCCCTGAGGGTCCCCCCCATCCCCAGCAGTGGCCTTGAGTGATTGCCCCATGGTGTCCCAGCAGGGCGACTCGGTGACTATCTGAGCATCACCCGGTTAAGTCCTCTGTGCCCGATTTGTGCCGGTCACCTCCTTGCTGGTACAGCTGCTTCGATGGTGCCGGGTTTCTTTTGGGGGGGGTGGGGTGCTGGACACCTGTTCAGCTTTTCCCGCATGGGAACGCAAAAGCACCCGGCTCATGGTTTCGGAAACAGGAGTTCAGAGATTCCGTACGATGGGCCTGGATTAAAGGCTAATAAAACCTATCAGTCCATGTTTATCCACGCCGGAAAAGATTGATCTGCTCGTGACATTTCTTGGGGGAGAGGATTGTCTGGGCCTCACTTGACCACACCATATGGAGTGTGATTTGTGCACTTTGCCCACCGCTGTGTGCCTTTTACATTTAAACAGGAGGCCTTAATAGTCTGATTGAGATCATTCCCCCCATTGTCTGGAAGATAAGCACTGAGGCCCCCACTGCCATCGTTAGCGTGGACAATTAGGGCGGGACCCTGCGGTGCGTGTGCTTGGAAGGACGCGAGCTAAGGAGCAAAGAACTCTGGGAAAACAAAGGAGTCCCGGGAAGGGGGATTGTGGGTATTGTGGCAAGCCTGTTTCTGACTGAGTTGCTCCTGGGGTTTGAGTACAGCAGGTTTTCAGTTTTTCTCTAGTTGGTGAGATGTTTGCAGTATTTATTCGTTTAGAGTGCTTCATTATGTTTACAAATGACGCAGTATGAAATGCGCCCCCTGTCGTTTCCAGCTTAAGTCTTTAACGAAGTCTCGCACTCGTTTTGTGTGTGATGCTGCATTTACGGCGCCCCCCCCCCGTGGATTGAGTCTCCGACCTCTGAAAACTGGCCTGTTCTTTCTGACAGGGATCGCCTCCACGGCGCTGGCAGAGAGCTGCACGTCCTCCCCGTGCCAAAACGGTGGCACCTGCGAGAGCGTGGGGGGGGGTTACGTGTGCCGCTGCCCGCAGGAGGAGCCGCGCTACACGGGCCGGGACTGCGGAGAGCTGTATGACGCCTGCGCCTTCGTTGCCTGTCCCAACTGCACCAGCACGCCTGGCACAGACCTCTACTCTTGCCCGTGTCCGGTTGGTTCCCATGGCGACGGCTGCCAGACCCCCATCTCCAGCTGCTCTGGGGACCCCTGCCACAACAACGGCAGCTGCAGGGAGGTGGGCCACGGGTTCGAGTGCGTGTGCCCCCCCGGCTTCTGGGGGATCTTCTGCGAACAGGAACTGAACGAGTGCCTGTCGGAGCCGTGCAGGAATGGTGCCATCTGTGTGGACGCCCATGGCACCTACCAGTGCTTCTGCGTGCCTGGTTTCCAGGGCAACAACTGCGAGATCGACATTAACGAGTGCGCCTCGCGGCCCTGCGAGAACAACGGCACCTGCGTGAATGGGAAGGACCGCTATGAGTGCTTGTGTCCACCAGGGTTCACTGGTAAGCCACCGCCCCCCCATCCCCATTCTCCAATTTCTCATGTGCTACCAGTGGTGGAAAGTTCAGGTCCAGAGAGTAAAAGTCCAGACCAAGATTTTGCTTCAACCAACCAGTTGAGCATAAAGAGTCACAGTCACAGAGTTCGCAACTGGTTGGTTGAAACAAAATCTTGGTCTAGACTTTTACTCTCTGGACCTGAACTACCCACCCCTGTGTGTTACAACCAGTTCTTTTGTGAGCAAGCTTTGGTCCAGAAATGAACTCCCCACCAAAAAACAGAATCATTTTATTCAAATAGGAATTTCTTTTCATGTAGGCAGTGGCGAAGCATAAACAAGTAAACATACAATTAATAATATAACTAACACGAAAGTACAAAAAACAACAAACTGAATCAAAGTTAAGCAGAGGTAGAAATAAAATAAAAATAAAACATAAATAAAATAAAATAGAAAGATGGCAAATAATGAATAAACCTGTGGAAAAATAAACAAAGTGGCACAACCAAATGTGGGGTTTACGCAGTTTATGTACAAATGAGCGGTTTTGTTAACTTGCTAAACGACCCGTAAACTTTGCCTGCTGCTCTGAGGAGCTGGCTAATGGCGGCCTGCTTCTCCGTCCTGCCTCACTCGTTCTCGCTCCTGACTGGGCCCGCGGTATGTTAAGTGCCTCACTTGTTATCTGTAGAAATTTTGTCCTGGTGGCTGACGTGTATCTCGAGCTCGCCAACGCAGGAGAGGCACCGCTCAAAAGGGGGCAGCGGCGAGCGGACGCAGTCCGATCATGGGGCACAAAAACGGTCACACGGCCCCCTAGGAACAAAGGCACAGCGTATATGAGATACATGTATAGTGGTCATCCCAGCTGGATTGATCAGATATCTGTTGCTTAGTAACCAGTGACAGTGGCAGTCTCTCCCAAAATCTGTTTTAAGATACTATTTTAGACCGCACACCTAGGGGCCATTAATGAACACAAACCACAAAACATTATTGAACTAACAACCATTAACTGCAGCCAACCATTATGAAGAGCTCTTGAAACCTTTTAAAATTTCTTTCACGCACAAATCTAAGAATATCTTTTTCTTTCTTTCCATGCGTATGTTCATCGACCCACATGTTTTAACAGGATGAATTTGTAGTTTTCGTTTCTTTTGAGTTTTGAGGCTAGGATTGAAGGACGATCGATGCATGGCTGACACAGTAACCTGCGCAAAACAGGCTCATCCATTCTGTAACTACCCACACTCTTGCTAACCAGCACCCCCTACTGGCCTTCCCAGCATCTAACCTGTATGTGGTGTGACCTGAAGTACATAAGCAGAGTAATGTGCTTTCAGGATGTCAGGATGGTTTCAGGGGAAGGGCAGCTGTTTAAATTAAAGTGAAATCTGTAGGCCAGGGGTGCCCAACTCCAGTCCTGGGGGGCCGGAGTCCTGTGTAGCTTAGATCTTTCCCTGTTCTACCATAAATGATTCAGCTCAAGAGCTGTGTGGTAATTAGCACAAGGAGTTGAATCAGGTGTGTTAAATGAGGGGAAACCCAAAACGTGCAGGGCTCCGGCCCCCCAGGACTGGAGTTGGGCACCTCTGCTGTAACAAAACAGCCCGTGGTGGCTAATATAAAGTCAGTCACTCAGCTGTAAGACACCTGTTGGTCAGTAATGGGCCTATATTTTGTATAGAATTTGGCCAAACGTGTGTGTGTGTGTGTGTGTGTGTGTGTGCACATGCACGCAGGAGTGAACTGTGAGGTGGACATAGACGAGTGCGAGTCCAGCCCCTGCCAGAATGGTGCCACCTGCTACGACAACGTGGACCTGTACATCTGCGACTGCCTGCCGGGGTTCGCCGGCTGGAACTGCGAGATCGACATCGACGAGTGCACCAGTCAGCCCTGCCACAACCAGGGCCACTGCCTCGATTTGGTGGACAGGTACGACAGCCGATCTCCCAGGGTACCTCAGGGAGACCAGCCATGACATCAGGTGACCATGCCACCCTAAAGGTCAAAGGTCAAGTGCCATTATTTGACTGCACAGTAGCCTTTTGATTTAACAATGACCTTTATTTGATTTGACCTGGCCTTTAATTAGTTTTTTAAATAGACTAATATATTTACTTCTAATTAAAAACAGTTTGAGATTTCAGGCTTAGCAATCAACCACTACATAGATAGATAGATAGATAGATAGATAGATAGATAGATAGATAGATAGATGGATGGATGGATGGTTGGATGGATGATAGATGCATGATGGATGGATGGAAGGATGATAAATAGATAGATAAATAGTTAACACAACAGAAGTTTAAGGTGTACCATATGCCGTAACCTGACGTTCATCTGATTTGTATAATGTATCATTTTGAATAATGACGTACATGGTACTGAAATTTAAGACTGATCTGGGGGTCTGTGGGGAGGGGTCTGATGGTGTTTGCCATGTCTCGCAGTTATAAGTGTGACTGCAGTAACACCGGATACACCGGCCTCTTCTGCGAAGAGGAAATCCTGGAATGCTTATCGAACCCGTGTCAGAACAGCGCCACCTGTCAGGAGGAGGTCAATGGCTACAAGTGTCTCTGCTGGCCAGGTGGGTCAAGCCTCTTCACGCACTCGCATCGATCGTCTGACACTTTTTCATCCAGGAGGATTTGCGTACTTCTCCACTAACCCAATTCCGCTCCTATAGACTTCATGGGAGATTTCTGTTAAATGTACAAATTCATTACATATTTGGGCGTGCAGAAGGAGACATGAACCACTTCTAAAAGCAGTGATGCAAAAAGTTGTGAGATATCAAAGTCTGTACACGCAATCAGCTGCTGCTTTAGAAGTGGGACATTAGTGTTAGCACTGCCCTCCAGTGGCCGATGGAGGGATTGGCAGAAATCCGATGGAAAAGGCTGTTACAGTGCCCTTGGCTTAGCAGCGAGCTCTTGGCATTTGTCTTCACATTCTCTCTCTCCCATACCATTGTTAACAATGCTGCTAGGGGGAGAGGAGACTAAACCGGTTTAATGCCCGTTTTTGGAACTTGACATTTTAACCTAAGTAAATGTGGTTCCTCCGGGCATGAACGCTGCTCCTATTCATTAAATGTAGCGGTTCCTAACTGCTACGCTACCTGCTAGTCCAGCCAGTTGGCTCAAAGCGAGTTAATCTTGTTCTGTCTGACAGCAGATGGTCTCCCAATTAACCGAATAACACCAAAACCATCTGCTAACAAATTGTCGTGCTGTTAGTCTGTGAGTGCGACATTACTCTCTATCTCTAGCAGCTTTTAATCAGCACGGCGTGTCGACTGCGTGTGCGTGAGATACTGTATACCTACATGGTTATAAGCGCACTGCCGTCGCTCAGGTTACGAGGGCGCGCACTGCGAGGTAGACGTCGACGAGTGCGCGGACGAGCCATGCGTGAACGGCGGCACCTGCCTGGAGCGATCGGACGCCTCCTGGTACCGTGACGGCGCTGGCTTCAGCTATGCCACGGCGGAGGGCTACGACTGCATCTGTCTGGCCGGATTCACAGGTAATTCCCGAGCGTCTGACCGTGCACGTCGCTCCGGAGAGGCACGTACGTGACTCCCCTCCCCCCGATGCTGAACCCGATGCCTCTGCTTTAAGGGGAAACCTGCTCGGTGGACGTGGACGAATGCCAGTCCCTGCCCTGTCTGAACGGAGGGACATGCATGGATCTGACCGATGCTTATCAGTGCATATGTCCGCCTGGGTTCACAGGTGAGGAACCACCCCCCCCAGCTCCGACACACACCCAGCAAGCTTAGGGTGGAAGGCAGGGGGCGCCCTGGACGTGATTCCAGTAACAACAATCGTAATTGTGCCCTGCCAAATACCAGGGCATTTTAAACTATTTGGGGAGGGGGGAGCGGAGCAGGGGCAAAGGAGCAGGCCGTGCTGGGGAGGAGAGGGAGAGGGAGGGGCTTGGGTGGGAGCTTATTGTACAGCCCTTTTGGTACAGCTGCATTAGCACATAGAGTTAAGTATTACCACCCGTCCAGCTATCCTGAACACCACGGACAATATACACCTGATAGTTATTCATGCCTTTGGATTGTCGGACGAGACTGGAGAGTCCCGAGGAATAGCACACTTCATGGGCGAACTACTAAGTACACACACAGAGAGAAGGCTGAATTTGAACCCCCAACCTTGGAGATGTGAGTCAATGGCACCACAGTGTGGCTAAGTAGATTAAGACACTTAGCCTTTGATTGGAAGGTTGTTGGTTCAAATTACAGACTTGACTGAGTGATGTCACTGTTGGCCCCCTGTTCAAGGCCCTTAAGCTGAATTGTTCTAACGACTTGCTGACCCTGAATATGTGCCATTTTGGATAAAAGCACCTGCTAAATAATAATAATTATTATTATTATTATCATTATTATGAACAACACCAAAGGCAGTGGCTAGTAGTTTAAAGTAAAGCCAGGAGTGTTTTCTACAGGCAAATAGCGACAAGTGCTCATTAACCCATGTGAAGTAATTAGAAAGGTTCGACAATGCCCCCCCCCCGGCCATCCATCGCGTGGGGCTGCGGACTAACATTCCTGCTGTCAGCACAGACGGGGGCCGGCTGGGAGGGCGGGGGGCGGGCGGATGGGGGAGGTGAGGATTAGAGCAGAGCCAGGACAGGGCCTGGAGTAGGGAGGGTAGGAGGCCAGAGCAGGGTGGGTTCCTCCTTAATCGCTCCTGCCTGCCTGGCACTGAGAAGGAGGAGGCACCGAGAGAGAAGGAGAAGGAACGAGTGCAGTGTCAGACACGGAGCGAGGTAAAGATGGGAAAGGGGGCTGTGCGAGCGCTCCTGCTGGCACTGCTGGTGCAGACAGGTAAACCCCCCCCGGGGGAAGCCCGGCTGCTCTCGGTTAGTGTGTGTGTGTGTGTGTGTGTGTGTGGGGCGGTACCCGCTAGTGCTGTTTTGACCGCATACATCAGATGGGGGTGATTCTTTCTGAAAACGAGGATTACGGGGCCGTTTCAAATACCTGGCGTGTCAGACGGATTAGCATAGCCGCGCGTCCAGCGCTGGGCAGGTTCTCGTGGCAACTGGGCTCTCTGGCCGTCCCAGAATGTCACTTTCTTACTCACGGTTCGCTCTGCTGTGGTCAGTCAGGAGCTGGATATAAAACAATCAAGATATGCTTCCCACAGGCATCAGCCTCATGCCCGAATGCGGACCCAAGGGGTCCTGCGGGGAGTTTGGGGGGGTGAGACCAGCTGCCTGGTTTAGGGTTAGGGTTGGGGTTAGGGTTAGGGTTGGGGTTAGTTAGCGTTTGATATGCTTACTAAGTGTATAGCTTTGAGCAGTTCATTGGAATCATAATTTTGGCTATTCGGTTGCTGAGGAGACCTGTGATTGTTTGGTCCTGGTTGGAAGGATGTGGGGGCTTCCTGCTGACTGTGACCGGGCGAGAGACCGGGCCGAGGCTGAGGATTTGCCTCTGGGTCGTCGTTCACAGGTGCGGACTGTCAGCTGGACATCAACGAGTGCCTGAGCGAGCCATGCCAGAACGGGGCAACCTGTCTGGACCTCCATGCTGGCTACACCTGCCGGTGCCCCCGGCCCGAGCCCGGCCAGGCTCCCTGGGGTGGCACCCACTGCGAGGTGCTCTTAACCGGCTGCGAGGACCACCAATGCCAGAACGGCGCCACCTGCTGGCCGCTCCTGGAAGGCGGGAGACACAGTTACGAGTGCAAGTGCCCACGAGGCCTAAGGGGCCAGCACTGTGATGAGGTCACCACCTTCTCCTTGACCTCTGACCCAGTGTTTGTCTCGGTGGCCAGCCTGACAGCAGGCCCGGCTGAGGATGCCCTGCGCTTCCGCACCACCCTCCCAGATGGCATCCTGCTCTACAGGGGCCACGAGGATGGCCACATCACCCTGGAGATCGTGGGCGGCCACCTCATCGCTCAGGCCCATTACAGAGGTACAGTGCTGGCCCACGTCAGCCTGCTGGGCCGGGTCAATGACGGGGAGTGGCACGGCGTCCGCATGAGCGCCCATGGGAACCTCACGCTGCTTCTGACCAGTCCGGTGTGCGATGTCCGGCTCTGCCAAGCGGAGAGTGCTGATGTTGGGGCCCTGGGGGTGTCGGCGTGGATGGCCGTGGGCGGCACCCACCAGCACGTCCTGAACGGTACACAGAGCAGGGCGGGCTTTGTCGGCTGTATGGAGGACCTGCATGTCGCCTCGGCGCCTATCCTTCCACGTCAGCTGCTGGGGAACGTGACGCAGGGCTGCCACCGCACAGAGTGGTGCCATCCGAACCCATGCTCTGGACGTGGGCGCTGCCACGACCTGTGGACCAGCTTTCGCTGTGCCTGTGACCGGCCCTTCCTTGGGGCCCGCTGCCAGGACGGTGAGCCCCGCAATCCACCGCTCATCTTTGCCCTCATTGTGGTGGCGGGGGGTGTCACCGGGCTCATGTTCCTCTTCCTCTTCCATCTCCTAGAGCACCCTTCGTGGACGTTCGGCCATGAGGATGAACTGAGCCACGCCATATTCCTCATTCCCGCCGGCCGCGGAGCCAACTTCACCATCTCATTCCTTCTTCGTTCGCTGAAGCCGGACGGTTTGGTGTTCCAGCTGCGGCGGGGGGGCCTTGAGTACTTCACCTTGTTCCTGCATGATGGCGCAGTGCAGGTGGCCCCCTGGTGGCCGGCTTCCGCCCCCCGCATTGTGGTCGCCACCGGGGAGTGGTGGCTGCTGGCCCTTGAGGTGTGGCACGGCACCGTGTCCCTGCAGGTGTCAGGCCACCCCGCCTGGGCTGGGACCCTCCCCGGGGGTATGGGGGTGTCACTGGAGGCGGGGGACGTGGCTTTCGTTGGGGGCCTTCCTGCGGGGGGTGCCACGTCCTGGGGGGGGCACTTCAAGGGCTGCCTGCAGGACCTACGTCTGGGCGACGTGCATCTGGACCCGCTGGACATCACGCTTGAGGAAGCCGGTCTCGCCCGCTATCCACCAAATGGGACGAACGCCGTCCAGCTGGGCTGCAGGAGTGACGACGCCTGCCGGTCACATACCACAGGGGTACGGCCCCCCACAAGCCAGGCCTCTTCAGTGACCCTTGCCTTTCTAAATATGGATTGGTCTGTCCTATCTAGATTCTCAGCCATGTCTGCAACACTGTAGTACCTTTCCATTGTGCTGCAGGGTTTTCTGATGCCATCTTGTCCCCTCCCATCCACCAGGTGGCGCTGTGCCAGAATGGAGGGGTGTGTATGGTCACCTGGAATGACTTCATCTGTGTCTGTCCCTCCAATTTCACGGGGAAAAGGTGCGAGAGGCTGGTTTGGTGTAGCACTGACCCTTGCCCTCTAGGAAGCAGCTGTGTCGACCTCGACGATGGATATGAATGTGAGTTTGAAGCGCTGCATGTTCTCTGTCCTGAGTGAATCAGTGTGAAACAGCCTGAACCAGTAACCATTTGGTCGTCACTCTAACCACTACACTACCAGCTATGTAGGTTGTGTTTCATCTCAGGTCAGCCTGGGTCATAGTCCCAACCCCATGAAATGGTCCATTTTGTCAGTTCTGATATAAATTGCTTGGTGCAGGTCTTGCCGACGCCACGTTCGCCAGCGACTCCCTGGAGTACGAGGCTCACGGCTCCTCAGCCCTCTCTGTGACTGGTGTGTCCCTGAATCTGCGGACACGCGAGGAAATCGCCGTACTCCTGCGTGCCTCCACCAGGGGGGGCTTCTTCAGCATGGCCCTGCTGAACTCGTCCCTGCTGGTGACAATTCGTGCAGGGAACAGCCTGGAGACGCTGTCATTGACCAGCCAGCAGCGAGTCTCGGACGGCACCTGGCACCATGTGCTGGTCTCCATGACTGACCAGGGGGGGGCGCCGTCTTCATGGAGCATCGTCGTGGATGGCCAGCTCAGCGGCACCAGCCCCCACGCCTCTGACTGCCTAGGATTGGTCAATGAGACGTCCGTCTTGCTGGCTGAGAACTTCACGGGCTGTCTGCGGGAGGTGAGGGTGGGTGGGGTGTACCTGCCTTTCGCAGATGGTCCGGAGCCCCCCCAGCAAATGAAGTTCCTCAGGAAGGTGGGGGGGCATGTCCATCTGGGCTGCTCTGGCGCCCCCGTGTGCCTCTCCCAGCCGTGTCTGAACAACGGCACGTGTGAGGACCTCTTCAACCTGTTCGAGTGCACCTGCGCCCCGGGCTGGCAGGGCCGGCACTGCCAGGAGGACGTGGACGAGTGCGCCTCCTCCCCCTGCCTGCGGGGGGCGTGCCGTGACCTACCGGCCGCCTTCCACTGCGAGTGCCCCCCTGGCTATGGGGGCGATGCCTGTGAGGAGGACCTGGACGACTGCCAGGGGCATCACTGCCAGAACGGGGCGACCTGCCAGGATGGCATGAACCACTACAGCTGTGTCTGCCCACTCAACTTCACCGGAACATTCTGCCAGTAAGCACACCCCCCCCCACCCCCCCCCCCCCCCCCGGGCGGGGGGGGGGGCTGTCATGTTGTCAGTTATGATCGAGACTCTATGACCTTTCCATCCTCAAGGCTCAGGAAGCAGCCATGTTAAATTCATGCACAGCTCGTTCCGAAATGTTGCCTTCGGATAAAAATGATGAATCCGGGAGAGTAGCTGTCACTCGTGGCGTGTTTCATCTCACTGGAAGTCGCCCTCCTCAGATGGCTAACTGCTAACTGGGGGGATAGGATAGCTTTTTAGCGTAATTATCACTATAGATGAGACAGGCATGTTTATGCTACTGAGTAACACTTACACAATGTGTGGCACAAACATTTATTAACATTTATTGATGCAGCACCTTAAGTAAACTACCAGTCTGGTGCCTAATGATTTATAGCGAATGGCACCGCTGTGTGTCCCGTTCGGTGACAAAGTGACATTAATGACAGCTGACATACTGCTACTGTTCAAAATGATTTTTTTTCAAAATCAATTTATTACAAGTTAGTGCTGGTTCTCGTAGGGTGTGTACCAGCAGGGGTTGAGTGAGGCTGACTATGGGAATGTAATGGAATCACATAATTAATTCAGACATGGTTGCCTGGATAGACACTTTATTACAGGTATCACTTATGCATGCGCCTGTTATGTCCCCACCGTCACACCATACGTTGTAAAAGCCACCAAGATGGTCTAATCGCAGTGAACGACGGAGCACCGCTCACGTGTGTGCGTCCCTCCCTCTCTCCCTCCCTCCAGGTGGATGCACGCACTCCCACGGTGTGACGGTGACGTGCAGTGTGCAAACGGGGGCCTCTGTACCGACGGAGACTGGGGAGCCAACTGTACCTGCAGGCCGGGCTTCACGGGCGACAGGTATGCCACCAGCAGTGGGCGGGAATACGGGTCCTTATTAGCCACAGATAGGGTAAATCTGTTACGAACACATTGAGTAACCAATGAGAGCATCAGTTTAGTCAGAGGTCAATAGTGCATTAATAATTCTGCAAGTCATGTGAGGGGGCACCATGTGACCCCTCAGGTGCGAGGAGGAGGTGGACGGCTGCCAGTCTGACCCTTGCCTGCACGGCGGTACCTGCCTCAGCCACACCGGCGGGTTCCAGTGCAGCTGCGTGCCTGGCTTCGTCGGACTGCGCTGCGAGACCAGAGTAGGTGCCCCAATAATATACCATAGCACAGTACCATAATTATCAAGGGCGGTGATTAATACCATGGAAACAGGCCTACTCCTGTACTAAAGTGGAGTAATGTGTGTCTCCCTGGCGCCCCCACCTGTACAGAAACAGGAGCACATGGAAGGCATCCCCCTGCTGATGGTGGCCATCCCCCTGGCCTGCTGCTGCCTCCTGCTGGCCGCCATCGGCCTTGCCTTCGCCGTGCTCACAGCCCGTAAGAAGCGCCAGTCGGAGGGCACCTACAGTCCCAGCCAGCAGGAGGTGGCAGGGGCACGCCTGGAGATGGACAGCGTGCTGAAGGTGCCCCCAGAGGAGCGCCTCATCTGAGCCCCGGGGGGGGGGCGGGGGGGGCGTGACTCGGGCACTGCCTGCAGTATGGACCTATCGGTGCAGTCCAGCTGACAACTGGGGACTGGGGGGGACATGCATGGAGTGGGGCATCTGAAGAAGTGGTTGATCCCCCCCCAGCTCCAGAAAAGGAAGTGTACAGGAAAATGGAACTGCTATCATGCTAATCCTAACCCCCCCCCCCCTTTTTCATGTGGGTGTAGGTGCTCTCTGCACCTTCTGCTCAGTTTCAATGTCGTCCCACCCCCCCAATCTGGTCCAGAACCAATACGACAGTGGTCCAGCTAGTGAATTCCCATAAAGCACGTCCGCCTGTGCTGGCGTGCGGATTCCCACGCCCCCGCCTCTGCCCCCCGCCCCCAACCCCAGGACTCCACCAGTGAGTGCTGTCGCCGATAATGCTCAGCAGTGACGTTCAGGACTCCACCAGTAAGTGTTGTCGCCCATAATGCTCAGCAGTGACGTTCAGGACTCCACCAGTGAGTGCTGTCGCCCATAATGCTCAGCAGTGAAGTTCCTTAACCACTACTGCTTTTTATGACTCATCTTACAGCTCTGCTGTATGCTGACGGCTGTAAACGTCAATCACACTGGACTTTTTTTTTTAATTCCTTTTGACTGTGACACTGTTACACTGTAACACATTTTCATAGACATTTAAAATTTAGCTTACACTGTACAGATGATGTAAATTACGGTGACACTATCAAAAACAAAGCAAAGCTATGTAATTTACTGAACAGCCAAATGGTGATCACGTCCGTTTGCTCTTTGAGGTGATTAATGGTAAATCTATGCAAGTCAGGGGTAAAAACAGATGTACCTAATTTTTTTTTTTTTTTTATGAATTTTGATTTGTAATTGTGTATATATGTGCCTTGAAAACTATTTTCTGTATAAATGCAAAGCCATTTTAAACATGAATATTTCTATTTTGCATCAGAATTTCGCCCTGCCATTGCTGTAAAATATAAAAATACAGGCGAAAGGAAACCAGTGAACATTCGTAGGCAGGTAGGCCTAGATAAACTCTCATAAACGCAACACTTTAGTTTTAGTTTTGTCTGAAGTCCTCTGGACATATTGAATTGTCTCTTTCAAATTTTATTGAACTTGATCTTCACCACGGAGTAAGATGCTAACTGGTAACGTATAGAAAGTGCACGTCGGGCTGTGAATTAATACTGCATACTGCTCGTACAATCAAGCACGACATAACGGCATGAAACATTCACCGTGTTTCATAAAGCAAATATTAACGCAGCCAGACCGTGCGGATGTTGATATTGGAGCTGTTTAAAGAGAGATTATGTGTTCATGTGGGTGGTAAGCAGGGACACTCATCGTGGGGGTATTTGAAGACCTCAGCGCTTCGGTCGCTTTGGGCGGATCTGAGTGGCTCTTTCATATTAGCTGTTTTCATCCGTACGTAGATGTGGACCAAATGAAATTGAATTGAATGACTTGTGAAGAGCAAAGGCTTTTTTAAAGGACTCAAGGAGGGTCTAAAAAGGTGTTTTTTTATGTCTGGTTTAGTTTATACTGATGTTATTATGTATATAATAATATAAAGCAGACATTAAAAAAACTCTTTATATATATATATATGTGTGTGTATGTGTATATGTGTGTTCTTGTTTTATGAATTGTTCATGTCAAAGCAGTAGGGACTTCACACATAGCAGGCAAGGTCAGTGGCTTAACAGACTGATGTGCTTCAGTTTTTACAATAAATACAAAAAAGATGGATTCCGTCTCTGGGTGTCTTAGGTAGGCCTATCTGACTTCATTAATGGTGTAAAAGGGCTCCTTCCATCCATTCCAAACGTCTCTATTGTGCTCCCAGCACCTCATGGTCTTTCCCTGCTGGCACCGCCCCCTGCTGGCACCGCCCCCTGCTGGCACCCTTAGGCCAGCTAACCACGTCTCTTCCGACAAGAGCATCAAGCAGCTAGCTGGATGCATTGAGCAGCCATGGCAGGTTCTGATGTCACTGTGGCGGTATCCAAGCAACAAAACCCAGAAGTGGCCAATGAATGTTGACTCTCACTCCTTTTGTGACCCCTGACCTTCACTACAGCCCCACAGTCCTTTTCAGGAATCTTTAAACGTACCCTCAGTGGTGAGTTAACTGCCCTTAGACGCCACATTGAATAAACAACGACTGAAATGACTGTGCTGCTCTGTCATTGCTGACCGAGAGAAAATCGGCTCCCCCTGACCCCGTCATGGCCGGCAGGCAGGTCGCCCCCCTCCCGCAGGGAAGAAGCCACTCCCACTTGTCATGGCCATTCCGTCCCAAAGCAGAATTCCGCTCTGCCTCCATCTTCCTTCCCCACTCTCTAATGGATGTGGGCTTGCAATCTGCAGCATTCCCTCCCCACCAGCAGTGCCACCCCCCTCCATCTCACAGGCTAGGGGCAGGAACGACAGGAATGTGAGGGTGCGTGGGGGGGGGGTGCAGGGGGTGCCTGGCGTACCCTGCCACAGCATCCTGTCCTGGTGCGTAGAGGTCAGCCGTGTTACACTTCACAGTGACTGTGTTCAAGGAAAAGCTCTTGGGAAGATGGGAGTTTCACAACCAAACAGGCTAAGGAGCCCAGGATCCAGCTGTGAGTCCAGATCCATTAACACTCAGCTTAAATCAGTGGTCTCAAGCTTCAAACACCTGGGGGCTACTGGCTGGTAGCTCTTTCCTGGGGAGGGGGGTCATTGGAGCTATTTCCTATGAGCTGAAAGAGAGAGAGAATAAAAAACGATTGAACAATTATATTCTGCTAATCAGTGTTGGGGGGTTAACATTTGTTTTTTTATTTTCTGTGGAAACAGAAGATCGATCTGTCGGCCAAATTTCATAATGGGTTAAATAGATGCCGCTGGCTGTATGAAGCCGGATGGCAGCCGGTAGTTTGTTGCAACTTTTGGCTTAAACAATGTGATTCCAGTCTGTTTTGAGGCAAAAGCAGCCAATCTGCACAGCTTTTTAAATTACCCAGAAGCACCTCAGCGAGTGACCTCCACCCAGGTGAGGGGACAGTGAGGGGGGACTGGGCAGGCAGACAAAGCGAGTCGGGCGCCTCCGTCGCCTTCTCTGCCGCACACCAATGCACCCCGGCCGGATCCCGTTGTCCGTGACAGGGGTTGACAGGCATCGGCGTCCCCCCTCCCTTGGGTAAGCATTGCGCTGGGAGACGGCGCAGCGAGACGGTAACGTGCACTTTAATGAGCGACGCCTTCCCCCCCCCCACCCCCCTCCCCACACATCCACGGCCTCTTAAGTGTCAGAAATGGCAGACAAACCAGATAAACGTCACGGAAGCCCGGCGAGCCGCACTGTTGACAAATGCAGATATTTCACTTTTAATTGACACTAAGGGCTGCGGATGATTCCTCCGCCAGGGCTTCTGAGGAGACGACGAGGGAGGCAGAGGGGCGTTCCGCACGCCCCCGAAAATAAGATGTAGGAAAACGCTCGGCGGATAGCGCCTATTTGCGCCGAGTTGTCAGTTTCGGGGTGTTATCGACGCGCCTTGTTGGAGGGAAAATAAGAGCAGATAATGATTAAAGTCTGTTTTCTAAGCTGCTGTCAGGCCGCCGCGGCGTGGGCCGTTGCGGATGTCAGGCGGGAAAATTTTGATTGACCGGTTTAGTAATTTGCGGATTGTCGTCGGAGTAAGAAAATAATAATAATAATAATAATAATAATAATAATAATAATATGGCTTTAACGTCATGGTTCCCCCCCACGTTGTGCAATAGCAGCTAGAAATAAACACAATTCGGTTAGAATAACTTGAAATCACTGAGAAGCCTAAGGGTTTCTTTACAATGCAATACAATAAAGAAATGTTAAATATTAAGCGACATAAATTCAATCATCGTGACACATGTCGTTGGTCAACTTTTTTATCTGCATACGCCAGTACTGTTATTATAACATTAGAATTCACGCAATTCCAATTAATATCTTCTTGCTAATAATAAATGTTTGTACTGCACGCGAGCCTGGCGCCACATCCTCCCACACCGTACATGTTCCACTAGAGGGCAGTATAGATCCGCCGTATTTACCCCCCTGCGTACCGAACGGATCGCAGACGTTGGCAGCGTAGAGGTCCCAGCCTGACCCCATCTTAAAGCGAACCAACCCGCTTCCTCGTCGTTTCACCAATGTGATTACACCAAGCATAGAGGTAAACTAAAAATAAACGCAGGCCTACATATCTCTCAGCCACTATTATCACTGACTGCCGCAGGTTTAATTGGCAAATACCATTAACTTAACTTTGCACGTCTGGGGAGTGATGATGTAGGTCTTAATGCAGATATCACTGTAGACACACAAGTCTTGTAAAAATAATAAATTCGAAATATCATACAGAGGCGAAGACCTCATCTGCGCTCCGGTCCTGCACATCCCAAAGCCCCGCTGCTTCCCCAGCCTCCCCGAAGGCTCAGGCTCAATTTCACTGCACACATAACACACAACTTGCCCTTTGGAGTCTAAGTTTGGGGTCAGTCACGCCATAATAATAGACCTACCTTCAACTGTTTGGCTGCTTCCCGGACGCCGGTGCAGCAGGTACGAGGGGCTGAATTCCACCCCTTTTAACTTCGCAGTATAGACGGAAGAAATAAAAATGACACTTTAAACCCAGCTTCAATCCTTTAATCCGAAAACGAAAGTTTGGGGGGAGAGAAACTTCTCATAGCTACCAACGCGCACTTTCTCTCTTCTTTTAATTACTGTTTCTTTTTCAATTATCAGCGCGAGTGTGAGAGGGTTTTAATAAAGCGAAGCTGGGGTCCCTAAGACGCAGCTTGTAATTAGGAAGGGAGTTAATTTCAGCTCGGGGGGAGAGCTTGCCCCACTCCGGGCTCGTCGGCACCCCCATCCTGACACCTCTAGGGTGGGGCTGTTAGGGGGTGTCCGCTCCTATACTGACCCGTGCGTGGGGGCCATGATTGCTTAAAACTCACTTGTTATCCTACTTATCAATCGCAGTTTACAGGACACAGGGGTTTGGAGTTCAGAATTATCACCGGTGCTCACCGCAAATACCACGTGGGGGATTTCAGTATGATATAGTACCTACCGCCCCTGGTTTCCGTAGGAAACCCAGCATCAATATTCACCGCACATGTGGCATCTTTACTAACGACGGGGAGCCTTTGATGTGGAAGATCAATGGCAACGATGGTATCGGGGTTCGCACTGCAAACTAGCGTTCATCTGGTGATTTGAATAGGAATAGGATACGTTTCCAGTGTAGATGACAGTGAGATTGTATAGGATGGGTTGATAGAATAGAGACACGGCGAACAGAAGGAGGAAATGGTGAAGGACCTGTAGGTGTAG